CCTGGTAGAGTTGTCCTCTGACTTCTGCACTCATGCTGCAGCTCGCACTCATGCTGCAGCTCACACTCATGCTGCAGCTCGCACTCATGCTGCAGCTCGCACAGATGCTGCAGCTCACACTCATGCTGCAGCTCGCACTCATGCTGCAGCTCGCACAGATGCTGCAGCTCACACTCATGCTGCAGCTCGCACAGATGCTGCAGCTCACACTCATGCTGCAGCTCGCACTCATGCTGCAGCTCGCACAGATGCTGCAGCTCACACTCATGCTGCAGCTCGCACAGATGCTGCAGCTCACACTCATGCTGCAGCTCGCACTCATGCTGCAGCTCACACTCATGCTGCAGCTCACACTCATGCTGCAGCTCGCACTCATGCTGCAGCTCGCACAGATGCTGCAGCTCACACTCATGCTGCAGCTCGCACAGATGCTGCAGCTCACACTCATGCTGCAGCTCGCACTCATGCTGCAGCTCACACTCATGCTGCAGCTCACACTCATGCTGCAGCTCACACTCATGCTGCAGCTCACACTCATGCTGCAGCTCGCACAGATGCTGCAGCTCACACTCATGCTGCAGCTCGCACTCATGCTGCAGCTCGCACAGATGCTGCAGCTCACACTCATGCTGCAGCTCGCACAGATGCTGCAGCTCACACTCATGCTGCAGCTCGCACAGATGCTGCAGCTCACACTCATGCTGCAGCTCGCACAGATGCTGCAGCTCACACTCATGCTGCAGCTCGCACAGATGCTGCAGCTCACACTCATGCTGCAGCTCACACTCATGCTGCAGCTCACACTCATGCACACACAGAGACAAATTTATAATTAAAAAAAAGTTTTACTGTCAGAAAGATTTTAAATTTGGAAATAACAGGACTGGACAAACAGCATATTCACCCAACATGTATTTATTAGCAAGGTTGTCAGTTTTGTGCTACATTTCACGTATGTGACCCATGAATTGGGGTTCCGGTGCCATTCACATAGGACCACAGGGCCGAACAGCCTTACATGTAGGTGAAATCATGCCCAGGGGCCTTGATTCTGAGGATTTTGAGATGACATGAAGATTACTGAGAACATTTTCCAAGTGCCCAGTTTACAGCACTATACAGGGCTGGTTTGAGAGGAGGGGAGGGTCATTCCCAGGGGAGCCTAGGCAGCGGGGGCTTTGAGAGCACAGAAGGCATTGGGAAGATACAGGATGCCCACTAGCCACCAGCAGCGGGGCAGAGCATGAAGCGCTCTGCCCTTGGCGACTTCAAAGGGATGAATCGTAGTCCCCTTGATTTCAACTCACTGAAATAAATGTATGCTGCACGTCCAGCTTCTTCTAGAACTGAGAGTCCATTTTTGCCAGGTATGGTCAGTCTTTGACATCCTGACACAATGTTGCCACTCACAAAGCTCATACACATGGTACAATCAATTTAAGAAAGAAATTGTTTCATGTTGTGAGAATCCTGGGAGGTATCACGTTTGCAGTAATGTTACTGTGGCTGGAATCTAAAGTATGGGGTCAAAAATAAAGCTGTTAGCATGCTAGATGGTTGAACCAGGAAAGCGCCTTCCGTGCAAGCCTGAGGACGTTGTTTGAATCCCCAGCACACACACAAAAGCTGGATGTGGTGGCATAAGATTGTAATGCCAGAGGGCAGAGACAGGATCCTGGAGTTTGCCAGCCCAGCCAACCCATGAGTGTTTGGTTCAATGGGAGACTCAGCCTGCATGTTGTTCTCTGATGTCTACACACATGCTATGGCACGCACACTCAAATGCAGTAACAATAAAAAAAAAATACTGGAAAGGACACTGAGCTCTAGTCTCCATGTACAGATGCACACTGCCACATACCCACTCCACACCTATGCACACCACACCCACACACACACACATTCACACCCATGCACATGTACCCCCACTCATACATTACCCCCCTCACACATGTACACCTGCCCGCACACCGAAAAGCAAGCCAGCCTTCTGTAACACTAAAATTCTCCGACACTAGTGGGCCTACTCTTTTACAGAATTACAAACGTAGACCATTCTCCATTTTTTTTTTTTTAAGCTTTTGTACCTATTCAGAATATTCTGGAATTATCACCTGCTTTATTCAGCCGTGTGGCCTGTAATTTCAGAGGCTGGATGTTACAATCATGGGTTATATTATTCTGATTTTAGATAGTCATGTTAATAGGATGGTGCTTTAATCTTGCCGAGTCCGTCACGCAAGGCGGAGCCCACCAGGACGTAAGCCACAAGGGAGCTGGGCTTTGCCTGTCTCAGCTTCTGCAGGAGCGCCTGACACTGTTAATATGCAATTGTGCTGATGTGCTGTTCGTCTGTTCCTCTGTTGCTGCTATTATTTTTGTACTAACCCCCACCCCCGCCACCAACAACAAAAAAAACCAAACCCCACAAACAACAAAACTCCAAAGCCATACAATTTGGAGTTTAAAAGAACAAAACTCCTTTACCTAGGTAAAAAGCCGGTGTCTGTGAGGTATCTGTTTTGTTCATGAATCCAGACCAAAGCTTAGTGATAGTGTCCTCTAAGGTTACCTTGGTAACCATGGTAAGGACGGTTACCAAGGAAACTGCATCTGTCTAATCACAGAAGAGCTGTAGACAAACACTGCCACCTTTGGAGTCTGGCAGGTGTGAGTTCAAGCCTGGGACTGTCAGTCACTGTGACCTTTTCTCGTTTTCCCCAAGGCCTTCTTGTTTAAGCTTGTTTGGCTACCACGACTTTTATTTCATGCAATTACAACATGGTAGCAGTACTGGAAACACAGTGTAGGGGTCCCTCCAAACCAGTTTTGAAGGCATCTCCTTTTGAAAATGTGCGCATTAGTTTGGATATTCCCCGAATCTCAGTTGTGATGCAACGGAACAGATGGTGTGTGGACCACGACCACCACCTGTCAACCAGCAGCCCAGTACAGCTGCATTTCAACCTTTCCAACCAGGACTCCTCACTGCCTCGCTCCCAGGAACACTTAGGAATTTGCCTGCAGACATAGAGGGCAGGCTTCTGAGGACCCTGGACTTACTCTATCTGTAGCATGCACTCCAGAATTCTGACCCCGACCTCAGTTATTCTACGGCACATTTCTTTATGCCAGCAGTTTACAGATTTAGGTTTTTAGTCTCACTGACTACATACTGGATAGAAGGACAGACCTGCTTTCTCCTTATACATTAGCTGGCTACTCCTTCAAGGCAGGGGATTCTTAGAGGTAAAAGGAACTCAAAACCACCTTGCCACAGTAGACTCTCATATCCCTTGCTTTTTGTAACCTTATGCCTCCAACTGCAACCACAAATATTCTTAATGTTTGATCTCCAGCTCAACTCCTCCCAACTTCCACCAGTTTCTGTGTCATGCTTTCATCTTGAGTTGGATGTTGAATGAGCATCTCAAACCTTCCCAATTCCCTAGACCTACTTCCTCTTACCATACTTTTAACCATGGTCATCTGCTCAGGTGACATATCTTGAACTTGAGTTTTGTCTGTTCATCCATGTGGAGGCCAGAGGGCTCCCTCAGGTGGGGCCCACCTTGTTTGTTCAGTCTCCTGTTGCCTGGTTTCCTAAGTAGGCTGGTCTAGCTGAAGAGTGAGCCCTGAGGCTGCATTACCCCTCCCCCTCCTCCTTCAGCCCTGGGATGACAAGCACATGTTAACTACCTGTTTTGTACATGAGTTCTGAAGCCTAGTCTGGACACTGAGGCAGTTGAACTTCTCTGCTCCAAGTTCTTTTCTGTATAGAAGAAAGGCAGAGCCTTTGCCTGCATGCATAGCTCATCATACCTTCTCCATGCCACACACCGCTGCTGTTCCCACCTGGCTCCATCACCACCCCCTTCTCCATGCCACATACCGCTGCTGTTCCCACCTAGCTCCATCACCACCCCCTTCTCCATGCCACACACTGCTGCTGTTCCCACCTGGCTCCATCACCACCCCTTTCTCCATGCCACACACTGCTGCTGTTCCCACCTGGCTCCATCACCACCCCTTTCTCCATGCCATACACCGCTGCTGTTCCCACCTGGCTCCATCACCACCCCTTTCTCCATGCCACACACCGCTGCTGTTCCCACCTGGCTCCATCACCACCCCTTTCTCCATGCCACACACTGCTGCTGTTCCCACCTGGCTCCATCACCACCCCTTTCTCCATGCCACACACCGCTGCTGTTCCCACCTGGCTCCATCACCACCCCTTTTTCCATGCCATACACCGCTGCTGTTCCCACCTGGCTCCATCACCACCCCCTTTTCCATGCCATACACTGCTGCTGTTCCCACCTGGCTCCATCACCACCCCCTTCTCCATGCCACACACCACTGCTATTCCCACCGAGCTCCATCACCACCCCCTTCTCCATGCCACACACTACTGCTGTTCCCACCGAGCTCCATCACCCCCACTTCTCCATGCCACACACTACTGCTGTTCCCACCGAGCTCCATCACCCCCCCTTCTCCATGCCACACAATACTGCTGTTCCCACCGAGCTTCATCACCCCCCTTCTCCATGCCACACACTACTGCTGTTCCCACCGAGCTCCATCACCCCCCCCTTCTCCATGCCACACACTGCTGCTGTTCGTACCCTCTGCTCCCTTTCATCCCCGGATGGATGCTCCCCTCTGCTCAACTGCTTCTGCTACCGTGTCTCTGACCCAGCCTGACACAGTGAGCACCTTTGGCGTCTATGCTAGCTCACTGGCCCTGCCTTTTCTAAACTCTTTGCTTCCCAGTAGGTATAACACATTTTAGATCTCATTTACTCTCACCTCCATGAGGTTATAAATTGAGGGCAGGGATTTCTTTCTCTGATGTAGGCATAGAGTCACGTCAAAATAACAACTGAAAACATGGGAGTCTCCCTTCACCCCTTTCTAACCAAGCTCCTTTACTGAAATAACAGACAGTCACACAGAGTTCTGGGGTTGAAAATAAAAGCAAAGACCACTACGCGTTAGTTTGTCAACATGTAATGCCCTGGGTTTATTTTGTGAGAATTCTATCACAATGTTTCCAGGTGGGATTAAAAACCTTAAGGATAACGTATGCCATTGGACTGGGCATTCAGACTCCGGTACTGACAAAGCACTAGTAGTAGTCTGGTAAGTACCGTTCTCTTCACAGAAGAGAGGTCAAATATTTCCAAAGGAAGGCACCCGATATTTGTGGCTCTGGCCTCGCAGCCTTCTGGAGAATCTTAAAAGGAAAAAGCTGGCTGGCTGTTTTACACACTGGAATGACGATACACGGACAGCAATTACTGCATTCTTCTCCCCTATATCCTTTCTGTAAGAACAAGTAAAGAATGAAGTCTTTAAACGATTCCACAATAAAAAAGTACATCTTTTTGTGCTAAAAAAAGGGCAAGACAACATAAACTCCAGTTGTAAGGACTCCGTTTGCGTACTTGATTTAACACTTTTGGTGGGAGGAAATGGGACGACTGGACTGTTTGCAGAGCAGCAACGTAACATTAGTGCTTTAAGTACCGGGCGCCCAAGCTTGCAGGCGGGCGGGCGGGTGGGCGGGGACGGGAGGGTCAAGAGACTTCATTTTTAGCTTGTTGCGCGTCCTAATGGTAGAAGACCAGAAGATCCCCATTGAACAGTACATTCCCCATTTTAAAAAAAACTGGTGCCTTTTTTTTTTTTTTTGTAAAATTCTGTATGTATGTCACCATTTTTTTTTTTTCACATGATACACAGAAAACTCAAGGACCCAGAGGGAACCAAGTTATGTTATACCATTTACAAAATACCAAGGAGTCCACAGCTACCTAACACACTTACTACAGCACAGGAACCAATGAGGGTACAGTGTACAAAACCTGTAAACACGGCACAATAAATAGACAGCAGGTTCCGCACCATGCACATGATGTGATGACACCAGCTACACAGCTCACAGCTCACACTCTGGTTGCAGTTTATTCCCCACCCCCCCGCCCCCAAGTGCAAAGCATCACAAATGAACATTTCTGTATTCAAGTAACATATATACAAGGGTATTACAAATATGCAGTACTATACAGATAATTGCTGTATTCTTAATTTACAGATGTTGATTTTTTTTCCTATTAACAGTAAGAAAAGAAAAGTTGAAGCATGAGAGATGCGCAGTGCTGCCGAGTCCCCACAGCTGCCATGGAAACGCATGTGTGCATTCCATCCTCCCCTGCGTTCCAACGCCTCTGATGCATAGCACCTGATCGTGTCCCCAGGCTGCAGTCCTGTTCCCAGGAAGAAGCTACGTCACCTCCATCGCTACCGTGTTGTCGGCTATACTGTTCAGTGCTGGCTTTTCCGAGTCATGATTTTCCCTGTCGGGATAAAAGTTCAGTTACTTAACCGTCATGGACAAACGGAGCAAACAAAGAAAAAGCATTAGTTATCTTTAATTACGGGGAGAAACTTTACTTATGGACAGTGGAGCAAAGAGGAGTATGAATTTTTATAATTATGAAAAACAGGCAAGCAGAAATCAGGTGTCAACAGTTAATTCCATGGCCAACTGGACTGCTGAAAACTTGTAGAAGAGCCCGAGTGACCCAGGGACCTGCATCCTAACTCCCCAACTTCTCACGCTCTGAAAGGTACAGCTGCAGCTGCCTTCCACATTCAACTTCTCTTCTTGCATTATTTACTTATTTATTTAGTGTGTATGTGATACACAAGTGTGCTCGTGACAGCATATCATAGTATATCACAGCATAGGTCAACTTCTGGGGAGTCAGTCTCTTCTTCTACCATGTAGATTCTGGGGATCAAACAGCTTGTGAGGCTTGGTGGCAAGTGCCTTCACCTACTGAGCCACCTCAGCAGCCCTAAGCTTTTATTCCTTTTTAGGGGTAGGGGTGTGTGTGTGTGTGTGTGTGTGTGTGTGTGTGTGTGTGTGTGTGTGTGCGCGCACACGTGGAGACCCGAGGCAGACGGCGGGCCCCTTTCCTATCACTTTACCTTGCTTTCTGAGACAGGGTTTCTCACCTAACTTGAAGATCACAGAGATGGCTGGGCTGGCAAGGAGCTTTAGGGATCTGCCTATCCCATCCCTTCCCACACCTCCTACAGTGGAGGGGTTATACGCACTCAATACTACATGTAGTTTTTTAAAAAAATGTGGGATCTCGGGATCTGAACTCAGATGCTCCTGTTTGTACTAGCAAGTAACTTACCAACTAAAACCACCTTCCCAGGCTGTGAACCATTTTTAAACCTTATATAATTGTGTGTGTGCACACGTATGCCAGTGCGGAGGTCAGAGGACAGCTTGCAGGATTTGCTTCTCTCCTTCCACCATGTGGGTAGAGTGGGTCGGACTCAGGTGGTCAGACTTGGCGGCAGGCACCTTTACCCACGGAGCCATCTCCCGCTTTCAACCCCAAACAAAAATGACTAAGATTCACGTCAGGACTTCAAATCTGGGTCCTAATGAACCGCACCAGTGAGGCAGATGCAGGACTAGTAACCAGAGCACTAAGTTCTAGAGGTATCCCTGGAAAGTCCACTGACCTCAGGAATTTGTTTCCTGCTTTTCAATAGAGACAGGATCTGAGAAGTCCCATATACTATAAATGTTCCCATATGTGTACAATTTTACAGCAATGGAAGTCATGATGGTTGGTGATGGGGGAGAGGGGAAACCATAGTCAGATGATCAGCCACAAGTGGCCCAACAATACAGCGGGTACTGAGCGGACAGAGACTTGTGGGTGTGCAAAGTAAAGGCTCCCAATAGGCTGCCACATAACTGCTCTCGCTGCCATCCCCTCCCGCCCGCCGCCCCCCCCCCCCCCCCCCCCCCCCCCCCCCCCCCCCCCCCCCCCCCCCCCCCCCGCCCCTTTGGCTGAAGTCTTTTTGTTCTGCCTGCATGTTTTGCCTGCAGGCCAGAAGAGGGCATCAGCTCTCATTATAGATGGTTGTGAGCCACCATGTGGTTGCTGGGAATTGAACTCAGGACCTTTAGAAGAGCACTGGCTGAAGTCTTAATGCTGGTCTAACAAGCTGCTGGTGTGATCTGTCTGCTCTCCTCCTGTCACTCCTTTTCTCCTAAGCTCCCTGAGACCCTAGGAAAACCGAGTACTTGTTAACCACTGGTATTTCCCTGCCTTTAATCCCAGCACTCTGTGAGTTTGAGGCCAGCCTGGTCTACAGAGCAAGATCCAGGGCAGGCACCAAAACTACACAGAGAAACCCTGTTTCAAAAAAAAAAAAAAAAAAAAAAACAAAAACAAAAACCAAAAAACATTATATATATAGAGAGAGGCCCAAGTCACATAAGCAATACTCACTATCTCAGTGAGTGAACTGGCTCATTCTCAACTAAAAGTGAATTCACTAACACAGAATTACAACATCCACTTGCTTAGTTCTTAAGTAAATGAGGGTTCTTGTGTCTATACTTTTCAATACATAGAAGGCTGAAGTGAGGTGCCTTTTCAAACATTTTAAGCTTAGAGTAACTACTCACCTTGGAACGGAATCTACAGAGGATGAGGAGGGGACCTTGGAAACTTGACAGTTTGCCGCGGCAGCCAGCTTTAAGGCAGATGACGGAACAGCACTTAAAGTCCTAGGTATATGTCGTGCGTTTATTGGGGCGATAGAGTTTACAGTGGGGACCGATGAAGGGACAGTTAATCGAATGTTGTTCCCAAACAGAACCTGAGTTGTCGCAGAATTGGCAGCAGTTACTTGATGACTCAGCGCACTGTGGGAGCCGGAAGTCTGTGTAATATTTGAAGGCTGTAACAAAGTTGAACCTGCTGTCGACGGACTCGTATGTACAAGCGCTGTTGGTGTAGTGCTACTGAGGTGTAAGCCCTTGTACACTCCTGGGGAGAGAAAGAAAGCAGGTAAATACCGCATTTGGTGGCTGTATGACAATGTGTACAAATATGCATGTGTGTAAACACGAGGCCATGCACGTCTTTATCCTCACCTGAGGCTGGAAGGACGCCATTCACCCCAATCCCAAGCACCACATCATCCTTCATCTTGAATCCCATCAGCTGTTCTGACGTCATCAAAGCAGAAGCAGCAAATTGCGCACTAGCAGAATCCAGAGTCTTAGAGACAAAACCCTGGAAGGAAAACACAAGGACAGCCGTCAGTGTAACGGCTTCCACCAGCATACAGACACACAGGTGCACCAAAGTCAGCTTCAACGGCACTGAGAGCTGGCCGCCAGGAAACCTTAGTCTCTTCTCAGAGACAGAAAGGTTCCCCGTCTAAAGGTTTATGCATTTTCATCTTCCTATAAGATAATATAGCGTACATAAGACAATTATCAAAAAATAATCCCTTTAGTACAGAATGCGATAACAGCAAGAAGTTCCAAATGAGAGGTTAGAAATATATTTCTCAAACAGTCAAATATATAACGCAAATACGTAAGCTTCCATGTAACCTCTATATACCTATTCTCTATCCCCCTCCCTCCTCCTCACCCTCACTGCTCATACCCAACCACTACACAACCAAAGACATCTTTGAACTAGTAAGACAATCATCCCTTAATAAAAAAGATATAATTTAAGAATTAAAAGGCCTCTTGTGAAATTCCCTTTAAGACGCTTACAAGACTCAATTCTCAGTCTTTCAGCCCCAAATCTATCTATACAGCAAATATTTTCCCCTGCTTTAAGTTTAAGAGTAGTTTTAAAGAGTAGAACAGGTTTGGATTTAATTCTGAACCCGGAGAGTGAGCTGCACGGGGCTCTGGGCTGCGGACAGCGCCATTGCAGATACAGGTCAGACCGCAGCAGCTTTACAGCTAAGGGAACTATGTTCTTATGTTACTCTGTACAATAGGCAGCAGAAGGAACCGCTTCCATACTCACCTGGAATGTTCTTTCTAAACCCTGTATATTCAGGCCAAAGCCACTTTTCTGCTGGTTAGATGCAAGGTTCTATGACAACACTTGGTAATTAGAGATGAACTCTGGCGGGAAACAATGAGGATAATCATAAGACACACAAGCCCCTCACCTGTGGCGCGGCGGCGGCGGAGGAATTACTATTTGCTTGCTGTTGCTGAGTTTGCGCAAGCTGCTGCTGCTGCATGAGCGCCAGTTGCTGCTGGTGTTGCTGGTATTGTTCGGCTGTAAATGCTTAACAGAAAACAAGGAGATGATTCACAAAAATGCACACACACCAAGGACACTTTACAACACTAAAAAAAAAAAAAAAAAATCCAGCATCAGAAAAGGATGGTTTTGTGCAAAACTGAAGCATTTGGGTAGATATGATCCTGCTGGAGATCACTTCTAGGTGGAAACCCCAGCTTTTTCTGCCACATTTAACAAAAGTGGCTTCAATTTAAAGAAAAAAAAAAAAAAAAAGAGAGTGAAGCTTCCCGAATTAAATACAGGAAACTCTTGCTTTTCTAAGCTGTGACCCTTGTGCTGGACAGTGTAGAAAGTGCTCTTGTGTTCTCAGTCCACAGGCTTGGAGATGCACTTTGTGCTGAGCATGAGGTGAAACCTGGTGACCACCATTCCGCTCCTACTTTATCCAGACCGCCATGCCAAGGCGCCCAGGCCTTCCCAAGAGCGCTGTGTGCAAACACTAATGTCCACATAGCTTCTTATTTTAGTCATTACAAAGGTTTCCTCTAAATAAAAGGTAAACCAGATAGCTTATTACTTTAAAAAAACAAAAACAAAAACAACTAATCTTTTAAGTTCAACAGGAAGAAAAGGAGTTTCCAATGTTAAGTTAATGACTTTTCCCCACCCAATTAACCCACCTGGACAAAATCCAGTCAATAAGAACGGAGTTATGCTGATTACTGTACAGAGTGATGACTGAGGAAAGACACTGTGTTATGCTACTATGTGTGTCTATGGAGAGCTCAGTTCTAAAAAAGACAAACAAAAAAATGTTCATTTATTACCCCAAAAAGTGTGTGCAGTTTTAAAAAGGAAACCTGTTTCTTTATTCTTTTCCTTTTGCCAGTTTAAAAAAAAGGGGGGGGGGGGGGGAGGGAAAAAAAAAAGAGAAAAGCACATAACACCAGAACCACCTGACTACAAGGACTTCTTTAAAGAAACCTTTCCTGTCTGAGTAGAAGTTATTTTAAGGAAAAAAATCAATACAAACTTTAGCACGTATCCCCAGGTACCAGGGCACCTACTGATTACCCAAAGCTCCTTGAGCTCAAGCTACAGTTTTCAAACACACCCACCCGATTTGCTTGCTACGAAGTCTCTTTTAGCTGACATCAGCCCACCGTATCAAGTTTTCTCATTTCCACCTAACCTCCAGAATCCGGTTTCTGCCTGATACCACTAGACAACAGCTAGCATGCCCACCACACGTGGAATGGACTGGAAAGGACCTAGAAGCCAAGGGCCGTACAACTATTAGTACCTATACAGGTTCTTCTAAGTTCATGGGCCACATGGGCAAAAAAAGTACCTTCTCACTGGAAAAATGCTCCCATTGATCCTCTTCTTCTGTGTGTTACAGCTCCATTTAACTGGCATCTGACTTGTAAGTTTTTCCCTACTTACTTACTTGCTTGTAATCTACACATCAAGCTCTATGAGAGATTTACTGATACTAGGATGTTCTCGAAGTACCGACATAAGTAATTCCTGTCACGCACACATCAACATGTAATAAAAGTGACTGGGTCTAAACCATGAATGCTGCCTGGAGTGAAGGTTCACAGTTAACGTAACTATTTTCCATAAAACCATTTAAACCTTAAGATACTTAACTTATTAGATATTTTTTACCAATGTGTTTGAAAGTTACTTTAACTTCCTAAAAGCTAACGTGCTGCCTCAGCCTTTACTTTTCCAATAGGGAATATTTAGTAATTAAAATAAAAATATTTCTAGAAGGATCAGGTCATTACACACTTAGAAAAATCATAATTCAGCATTCACTCAAGACCTCTGGCATGAGTGAAAGCAAACAGAAATGCTCATAAATAACAATGCCTTTTCCCTGCAAAATTCTTTTGTATATCTTTGATATTTGTGTTTTAGTTAAGCATTTAGTGGTAATTAACTGGGAATCAACTTCGAATGAACTTCCAAATACTTTTGCCCTAGTTAAATCAAGCTCACCCTAGTTTCTGGGAGTGTGTCAATCTCACCCTAACATCTGTCTCCTGCTGATGCAGATGCAGAGATAAAGACACACTACTTAACCCACAGCCAGTCAACTCCCAATCTGAGATGGCTGTTTCTTTTGGTTTTTTTTTTTTTTTTTGGTTTTTTCGAGACAGGGTTTCTCTGTGTAGCTTTGCGCCTTTTCCTGGAACTCACTTGGTAGCTCAGGCTGGTCTCGAACTCACAGAGATCCGCCTGGCTCTGCCTCCCGAGTGCTTGGGATTAAAGGTGTGCGCCACCACCGCCCGGCTCTTTTGGTTTTTTGAGACAGGGTTTTTCTGCATAGCTTTGGAGCCTTTCCTGGAACTCACTCTGTAGCCCAGGCTGGCCTCGAACTCAGAGATTCACCTGCCTCTGTCTCCCCAGTGCTGGGATTAAAGGTGTGTGCCACCACTGCTTGGCTGAAATAGCTGTTTTTTTGATGAAGCTATTCTGTCTGGAGTCTAGGTGTAAAATCTGGCCTGGATGTTTCTGGTAAATGATCTGTAATTAACAGAGCAACAAACAGGCTGGCAGTGAGGCGATAAACGCCTATCACAAACAGCAGCTTCAAAGAGCATGCCACCCTTTGTGGTTCAGCATCTTCATTTAAACGTGACAAGGATGAACCGAGGTGCCTGCCAAAGTCCTCTTAGCTCCCTCTCAGAAATAAAATGAAAGGATGTGAATTTGTACAAAGGTAAGGTAGTGATATGTGGATAATTAAAATGTGAACTGGATTTTTTTATTCCTATTTATCACAGAGTTGTAGAAGCACTCAAGGTCCACTGGCCCATTCTAACTCCAAGGTCTAATCAAATGCTCCACGGAGTAAAGCGAACGTGGCTGCTTTCTGAAACTTCGACTCTGAACCAGGGCATCAAGGGCAGGCAGTTTCCAGGTCTACATCTACTTCAGACAAAGTACAGCAGTCAAGTCTAAAACGACAGGCACAGGCAACCAAGCAAATCTAGATGGCTTTGCAGAACCAAAAGGGCTGAGGTCAGGTGAGGCCCTTGGACCCTAACTTCCTCCTATAACCTCACACTGGAGATGAAGACTGAGGTCCTGGAGTCACAAAGCGGATGAAAACACACACACACACACACAGCACCACCACCAGTTAGTGAGACTTCAAATTTAAAACAGAGAGAAAAACAGCTTTAGATTTGGAATTCACAAGCTATAATAAAAACCTTAGCTATTCACCTGTATGAGCAAAATGCTTAAGAAAAAAAACCCGTACACGCAGGGTACCTAACCAGCAAGAATGTTTGTGGAATAAATGCAGAAGTTAAGCCCGGGCCAGGGGAGGAAGTGGGACTGCAGATCTGTGGAGGACAGTGTGACAGGGAGAGTGCACACTTAGCACACTCCCGTAAGAAAACACAAGTCTGAACTTGAGGAGGCTGCTTTTGGCACGATGTATGGATAAGTTTCTAAGCAAGCTCCTTCAATATAGAATAAGTTGATCTGTTCTATTTCCCCCTCATCAGAAATACTCAAGCAGATGTCAGAAACCACCCTGTTTTTCCTTTGCTGGTTTTTCCAGAGAGGGTTTCTCTGTGTAACAGTTCTGGCTGTCCTGGAACTTGCTCTGTAGACCAGGCTGGCCTCAAACTCATAGAGGTCAGAGTGCTGGGATGAAAGGCATGTGCCACCACCACCACCCAGAAGTGTTGCGACCCAGTGCCTGGACCCGTCTAATTTACAGGCACACACCCCTGCAGCTTCAGCAATCTAACTGAGGTGCTTAAGGGAGTGCGGGGGTGGGGGTGCGGCGTGAGGGATACCAGAAAGAAATGAACCATTTCAAAATGGAGTCTGGGTTATTTAAAGGCATTTATACTTCATTAAAAAACACATAAAAGCCACAAACCTGTTTTAAAACATATCCTCGAGTCAGCAACTTCTGATTCTAACAGGCCTAACAAAAAAGGTGATTAAAACAAAAGTTGGGGATATGGCTTAGTGGTAGAGCACTTGCCTAGCATGCAGGAGACCCTAGATTCAATCCCCAGCCCCACAAAAACAAACAAACAAACAAACAAACAAACAAGCAAGCAAGCAAAATAACTCTGAAGTGAAATGACTCTAATTAGTAGGATCCCTGCATTAAGGAGCTGAAATCAGGGGAGTTCCCAAGCTTTGAACCACCTGAAAAAAACCCAACTTGTAAACAAGGTGTGTTGCGATTCAGTCGGTGGCCAGCTGTGTCAGAGCTGAGCACACTGGCTATGGCCGACTCCAGCATGACCTACATTTCCCTAGCCCCATGATGCTCTGGGGGTGCGGCGCCTGCCCATGCATCATCTACATACACCTGCCGAACTCACAGTGCACCTTACACAGGTGCCGTGTGAGAAGTCCATCATTCAGAAAAGATTCTGGATTAGCAAGCTTTCAATAAAGCGCAGGGTCTGGGAGACTTCCAAATGTAACAACAATCCGTGCACAAGACTATAGTCCCTTCCACACACAGATTAAGCCAAACATACTAATTCTATGCACAGAACATGTCACTTACAGAAACAAATCAGATTTTTACAGATGGTGTGAGTTTAGGTAAACAGCTTACAATGATGCCAAATTTCATTGGGAGCTAGAATTTTAAGGCACCACTGTAGTAGGAGTTTTAGTCTTTCTGAAACATCTACCCATGCATACATTTCCTTCCGTGTGTGTGTGTGTGTGTGTGTGTGTGTGTGTGTGTGTGTGTCTTGCTCTCTCTATGAGAGACACATAGTGTGCAAGCACACCAGGAGGACAAAGGACAACTCGTGGGAGTTGCTTCTCTCCTTCCACTATGTGGTTACTGGGGACAGAACTCAGGACGGCAGGCTTGGCAGCAAGCAGCCTTCACCCACTGAGCTGTGTTGCCAGCCCCTGTAACAGTGTCTTGACTAATTATGGTAATTTGATATCCCTTCAATTTCAAGTGCACAAAATGAATGCTTAACTACTCAGCAAACGCTGAATTTGAAAAAGTGCTATTATAGATTAAAAGGCCTAGAAAACTATTTGGAAGCAGTCCAAATTACAGATTAACTAATGATTATTAAGAAGAAATAATTTATCCCTAAGTAGATCTAGCCCTAGAAATTCTAAATCCCTATCAGCAGGTCTTTCCAAGATCCTCATTCTGTTACAAAGGGGATACAGCTGGAGAGAAGGCTCAGAGGTTAAGAGCACTGGCTGCTCTTCCAGAGATCCTTAGTTCAATTCCCAGCAACCACATGGTGGCTCACAACCATCTGTAATGAGATCTGGTGCCCTCTTCTGACATGCAGGCAGAACACTGTATACATAATAAATAAGTAAATATTAAAAAAAAAAGGGGGGGGGAATACAGGATTCACCAACACCTCCACAGAGGCTATCCAACATCAGACATGTCCTATTTGGGACACCCTCTGTGGTACATAGTCTGTGAAATGGCCGAGACTGGGAAGCAAGCAATGTGGATCCCAAGCAGCAGGAACAAGCTATACAACCGGGCACTCTTCAAGGAAATGAGTGGACTCCTGGCACCATCATTCAGAATTTTCTTTTCGAAAATGAGTGTTTGAGAACTCACTAGTAACTACTTAGGAAAGGAGCCTGGCAGGTGCTGTTTGTGCATATCAATTTTAGTTATCTGAATCAGTAACTGAATAATCAAATAATGGTTACATTTTAAGCCATCATTCGGCCTCTGCAGCAGGGCAGCGTGTTAACGACTCCCATCTGCCCCGATGGTTAAGTCAGCACAGTTAAGTTCAGCTTGGCAACGCTTTCAGAGAGGACATGGCTAGAGACTGAAACATCTTGGTATAGCCAGTGATTCCTCTGGCATTGACCAAATCAGGCTTCTTTGGTACCAAGTGTGGTTTAACATCTGGGGGTCATGGTGTAAAGGAAAATTATTTTTAAAACCACAAGTATGATGGAGTGAGATGATCGGCCTATGAGGCAATATCTGGACTCTGCACGTCAACATCGAATGAGACCCTCGTCCGATCCAGGCTGCCTCTGGAGAGAGCTTTCTTAAAGGAGAAATGCGCTTTGGCTTCTGTGTAACATGTCAATACCTAGGTTTTCTTTTCTGTCCCCGAGGACTGTCAGCTGAACTCACCTATGTTTAATGCACACATGACATAATTTACAGAGCCACAGAGCACTTCACGATCTCACGAATATTCACAAGCATGAAAGCAGAGTATCACTGTGTAGTCTGTTGGCATTTATTCTCTAAGTATATATGAAAATAAATATGGCATTTTGAAAAGCCCCATTGTCAAAAATAGTGATTCAGGTACAAAATTACACAATTATCAAGGGACTTTTTCCAGCTAACTTTTGCTAATGTTCACCTTTTAATGACATTTGAGAAACATACAGGAAACTTCGCAACAGACACCAACATGTTTACGTAAGTAATGTGCCAGCAAACTACCTCACATAAAATAATCCTAATGGAATCTGGAGGTCTGTTCCATGTTTCAGTGTCTACACCATAGGGGGTGACATGATGTGGATTGATGGAAAATGGCTACTTTCTCTATAAGGTCTCCAAACCTTTTCTACATCTGAAAAACTATTCTTGGGTAACTATTACAAGTTCACACTTTAAATTGCCACACTTGTGCTTATCTAAGCCTCCAAACTGAACAGCTCTTCAGCCTGACGTTAAGGACTATACAGGACAGAAAAAGTCACCAAAATTAGTGGAATTATAATCCGTTAAATCCCAGAAACAGATTTTCCAATTCTCAAGTTTAGACAGTTCAAAGAATTACTTTTTTTGTAACTAACAAGTAGATTAGTTTATGAAGCATTTTCTGAAGGCTTCTGAAGATGACAGCAAATTCTCATGCTTAGAAAGCACTTTAATTGTAGCTAAATAGGTAACTAGGGAAGCGATCCTTTAAAAAAAATCTATATTAAAGTTAACCTAGAAGAACTTTAACAACGTAATTTAAAAATATTTTAAACATGAGTCAGCCATGGTGGCACATGTCTTTAACCCAGTACTCAGGAGACAGAGCCAAGAAGCTCTGTGAGTTCGAGGCCAGCCTGGTCTACAAAGTGAGTTCCAGGACAGCCGGAGCTACATAGTGAGACCCTGCCTCAAAATCACAAGTAAATAAATACTTACTCACTTATTGTATTGATATACTTGGGTGTGTACATGCACACATGTATGCAGGCTAGAAGACAGCTGAATGGGTTCTTTCCTTCTACTGGGTGGGTCCTGGGGACTGAACTCAGGTTGTCAGGGTTGGTGCTGAGCACCTTTACCGGCTGAGTCGTCTTGATAGTGAACTTCTATAATTGATACAACTTAATGTGGACTCAAATGATTCAAAAGAGAAAGCCAAGAGTATTGTAGTATTTTCAGTATTTTAGTCTCATCGCACCAAAGTAGGTATTATCAAAAATGTTCCCAAAGAATTAAAATTCAGTTTCTCTCGCATGTATTCTAAATGACTATGTCAGCATATGTTATGTGTAACTACTGACTACTGGCCTCTACATTTAAGCAGACCAGATGAGGTAGGTGTTCAAGTACGTACCCCAAACAACTTGGGGGGGCCCTTTTATTTTCTTAGTACTTAAATTTATGCGTCTTGCGGTTCATGGGCTGCCTCAAGGTAACAAATGAAACATTAAATACATAGCAACGTACCATCTCTTTGTGGTTGTGGTTAAGGAAGGATACATGCACACAAACGCACACAGCAACAATACTAGTGAGCAGAAGTCGAAGAAATACGTAAGGTGTCTAACTGTGGCTGTCACAGACCACATCCTCAACGAGATGGATGACCCCACCCTGACATGGCGATGGGTGCCACAAAGGAACATACCACAGTGTGCGGAGCCACTGCTACTTTTACTCTGCGTGGAGGTACTGCATGTGTGGGTCCCAGGCTGTGCTGTTCCTGTCCGATTTATACTCCTATGTAATTTTCTACTGGAGAGTTCATCGCTGTCACTGTCATGTAGGGATGATGTCCGAGGCCTAAAGTGCCGCCATCTACATGATTTGATATCGACTAGTATCTGACTGAGGTCTTTAGAGGAAGATCTGTCCGAGGTATTGGTTTCTGAGGTATTGGCAAACTGATTGACTGGAGAAGGTTGTGGTGAGGAAAGCATGTCCAAATCCAGGTGGTGAAACATACTGTCATAGTCTGAATGCGCTCTGTCCAGCAGGACCCTGCACAAGGAGCAGACGTCAGAGATTACATCAGAGGGTTTTTTTTTTTTTCTTTCCCGAAAGCCCCAAAGCTAAATAAAAGTATACTGCATATTTAAAAGCCACAGAGTTAGTTCATCACTGTAGTATCTGGCTCTTTACACAGTGGGTGTGCATGGCACAGGGCACAGGGCACACGCAGAGGTCAGAGGACAGCAGTTTTCAAGAGCTGGTTCTCTCCTTCCACCATGTGGGTACTGGGGAAAGAACTCAGGCTGTCATCTTGGTGGCAAATGCCTCTTTCTACTGAGCCTTCTTGCTGGCTCCGGTTCTTTTAGCCTCAATCTCAATGCTGGATAAAAGTTCTTTTTTTCAAATTGTCTTTCAACCAGACTTTTCCTGTGCTTTGCCGTTCCTTCCCTCCTTTACTCTATGCATGAAGGGATTCTACTCCAGACCCAAGAACAGAATCCTGACCAAGTGAGCCACAAACAGAAGAGGCAACCACTGCAGTAGTTAAGGTCTACTTTCCCCCAGAATTCAATGACTTTGTTTGTGGTTTCCTGAACCAAATCCTGAGTGTGTAAACACAATTTACACTTGTCCTTCCTTAGAATTTTATCCTGTGATAACTTAGTTTAGACGTTAAGAAGTTTGGGGAGAAAAGAACCTATGCAGGTCCATTAGAACTGTGCAGTGGGGGAGGCTGGTGGGAGGATGAGTGGGCTCAGGCAGACAAACCGGTTAAGCACAGTGAGCTGGAGCCGCTAGAGTCTGTTCTCAAGGAGGGTCTCAGTTTAAACTTGGATTTCAGTGTCTAAAAGCATTCGATGCAAGGAAAGCAGAAGCGCATTACCTTCCACCACGCCCAACCCGTCTTCGTGCAAATCCAAGACACCTCTGGGGTACGGTGAGAGTTGTTAAGCAGTATCTATAGCGAACATCCCCCAATCCTCCATCTTTAGGGCTAGTCCAGGGCCAATTGCCAGTTTGGTCTAAATGAGGCTTAAAAAAAAATCCACATTATTGTATTCTGTCAGTTTCTCTGACGTCTGCTCTTTACAAACAAAGGCGGACACTTACAGCATAGTACTGACAGGCTGCTTTCCTACGGAAAGCAAAAGGGCCGTCAGGGTCATTCTCTTCCTCAGCTTCCGAAGAGCCAGACAAAACCTTGAAATAAAGCAGCGAGAGGTCAGACCTGTGGGCTCCTGCACTCTTCCTCCTCCTCCTCCTCCTCCTCCTCCTCCTCCTCCTCCTCCTCCTTCGCAGGCAGAGAACTGGTCTTCCGTTTACCTGGGACAGAGGCTCTTCGTCTGAGCTGGGGAAGTCGTACTGGTTTAAGTCTTTAGCACTGAACACGGGCAGTGCAGCAGGGCTCGGCTGCTGAGGAGCAGCGGCCGACGGCGGTAAGACTTTGGGCTTCTTCTCATATTTGCGCTTGGGTCGAGTAAGGTCGGCTTTCTCCTGCTGCAACACAGACACAAATCAGTTACACACCAGAAGCTGTGTCCCCAGCCTGCAGCTTCTGTTAATACTTCTAGTTAATTATTAGCTGGGGAGTGAACTGCTCACACTATTAAAAAAGGCCCCAGTTTTCCTCCCTGGCAGTCCCCTCAACCCTCAGAGGTTCATTCTGTTTTCTAATAATCTACATTTTCTCCATTCAAAACAAACATGCTTCAAAGGCTTTTAAAATGTACGTGCATGTGTATGTGCAGGTGCCTTGGAAGGCCAGAGACCATCAAGTCCCCTGGAACTGGAATTAGAGCTGCACACCATCCCATGTAGGTGCTGGGAACTCAAGCTCTGGCCCCCAGCAAGAGCAGTGTGTGCTCTAACTACGGAGCCATCTCTCCAGCCCAAACAACAAAATTTAAATGAAAATTGAAAAAACTGTTGTAGATAAAAGAACTATTCCAGCCGGGCGGTGGTGGCGCATGCCTTTAATCCCAGCACTCGGGAGGCAGAGCCAGGCAGATCTCTGTGAGTTCGAGGCCAGCCTGGGCTACCGAGTGAGTTCCAGGAAAGGCGCAAAGCTACACAGAGAAACCCTGTCTCGAAAAACCAAAAAAAAAAAAAAAAAAAAAAAAAAAAAGAACTAATCCATTAATTACCCTGTCTTTTTTTCCCGTTTTTTCAAGACAGGGTTTCTCTGTGTAGGCCTGGCTGTCCTGGAACTCACTCTGTGACCAGGGTGGTCTCAAACTCAGAGATCCACCTGCCTCTGCTTTCTGAGTGCTGGGATTAAAGGAGTGTGTCCCTCCGCCCCCCCCCCCCCCCCCGCCCCCCAGCTGAGGCACGTTTTTCAAAAAGGCACACTGACTGTCATCCTTTATATCCCTGGTTTCCCCTTACTAATTTTATTTCCCCCTCACCAACTTTATTCTTCACAAATTGTGAATTATCTGGTTAAGTATTAACTTGTCCAAACACTTCCCCTTCGACACCACTACCCATGTCACCGACTGTTAAAAGGTCCCTTGGTGGACTCTTTCCTTCACTCACACTGCCAGGGAGGCTTCCTGTTCTCCCCAAGCCTCTGCCCTGTGAACCACGCCGACACTTCATAGCCCCTAGCAGCGACCCTCTATCAGATCTCGTCTCCCGAGGAAGAAAGAGAAGCGGAACAAAGCTGGCACAAGAGCTGGTTTTCCTTCCAGTGGACAGCACACCTTCTGGTAGAATTTACTTATTTCTCCTCCTTATGGATGCTACTGTCACCAAGCCTTAATCACCTTATGACCTTTGAACTCCTTCACATCCGTGACTTCCTGGTGTTTGAACTGACTGCTGTTAGTGATAGGGATGATGGGGATGGCGTAAGCAGGCTTCACTGGCTGCCTCTGTGCCATGACCTCAGACATGATCTCTCCACTGTAGTCACCTAAATTATACCTGAAATGACAGAGAGGAGACTTTAAGCTGTATACAGAGTACAATGAAATTACTCCATAAACACTGAAATGATCTACAAGTCAGACTAATCCAATATCCACCTTCCCAGTTACCTGGTGTGCCCGCTGCAGGTGGGGTAAACCACTTAAGAGCTTTTTTTCTGAGACATGTATCCTGGGCTGGTATGTACTCAATGGTGACTTTGAATGCATATGGGTGGTTTGTCTGCATGTATGTCTGTGTACCATGTGTGTACCTTACCCATGGAGGCCAGAGAGGATACTGGGTCCCTGGGAACTAAATTTACAGAAGGTTGTGAGCTGTCACGTAGATGCTGGGAATCAAATTCAGGTCCTGGATTTCATCTCTAGTACTAAAAATCCCCCATGAACCCACAAAACACCCCAAATAAACAACCAGCATTCAACAGCATACTCTCACTCTGCCTCACACAGCCATAGAAAAACTCAAAAGAACAAAAGAATTTCTCAATAGAAACACTTGATCATTGTTCGTGAAGCCAATCATTTGGAGAAAACAAGACAGAACTGTGACTAAAGTCTCAGAGTTGCATCACAGCCTCTGTTACTGAAGGAACCCATTCCCGTAACTACAGCACTTGGAAGCACCTGCGCTGTGACTGCCCTCAGTCCTAACACACGAGCACGAGCATCACCTCTTTTCCATGATCTCCAGTGTTAGGTGCAGCAGCTCCCGCTTGCTCTTCTCTCTCCTCTTGATCATCTCCAGGATAGTCACAGCCCGGCTCAGATCCCGACGCAGCTTAAGCATCTTTTCATATGAGGCTTCATCATTTTTGCGGTTCTGGAAAGATAAAGTTGCTTCCTTAACCTCAAGAAGCACTTGTTAGCAGCTGCACATAGAATGTGTGCGTTTGTGGGTTACAGTTTAAAGACACAGGAGGGGGACACAGAACAGCAAGTCTGTACAGGGTGGGGTTTTTTTTTCCAGTGAGCCAATATTAATATGTATTACTAAGGCCCCTATAAAAACTAAAGGTCAACTTATTTTAATATTTTCCAGTGTAATTAAAAAAATGAAAAAACAGTGCTTGTTTTGGCAGTACATACACTAAAATTGGAATAACAAAAAAGATTTTGTGTGTGTGTGTGTGTGTGTGTGTGCACACACGTGCCCACAGGTCAGAAGGGAGTCCCAGGTGTTGGAGAGCTGTCCGATATGGGTACAAGGATGGCAACCCTGTCCTCTGACAGAAATGAGTGCTCTGCACCACTGGACATCCCCTCTAGTGGACTTCAAGGACTGTCACATGAAAGCACAGATTAGGGCACAAAGCCACGATATCAATAACTACACTTCTTCTTAAAAAGTCACTTACTTTTCGGGTTTGCATTTTCTCAGTCCGCCTTCTAAAAGCCACGTAAGGATCATTTGTGCTGGAGCCATCTCGCTTTTCTTGTTTGACCGATGGGATAAGTGATGGCCCTCGACAGTTTTTCCTCTTTTTAATCCAGTATTCATAAACTTCTCTAATTAACTCATCATCTTCTTTTAGCAGTAGTTTGGCTTCCTGCAGACTGACTGGCTAAATGTAAAACCATTACGTCACTTTCAAAAAACACATATGCAAGGACTCAAAACCATTCATTACTGCTTCATTTTTTTTTTTTTTAAAGATTTATTTATTTATTATGTACACAGTGTTCTGCCTGCATGTATCCCTGCAGGTCAGAAGAAGGCGCCAGATCTCATTACAGATGGTTGTGAGCCTCCATGTGGTTGCTGAGAGTTGAACTCAGGACCTTTGGAAGAGCAAGCTGTGCTCTTAACCTCTGAGCCATCTCTCCAGCCCTCATTACTGCTTCATTAAACGACAACAATCAAGCCAACAATAGTACTGACAGCATGTTTTCTTAAACAGGTCTCAGGTATCCCAGGCTAGCCTTGAACTTGTGGAGGATGACCTTGAACTTCTGATCCTCCTACCACCTTCTCAGTGCTGGAATCAAGATAGGTGCACACCACTACAGGTGATTTACTGGTGCCAGGGAGCAAACCCAATATGCATGCTCGGCAGGTATTGTACTAAGGGAGCCCCATCTCCAGCCCTGTGTGTTCAACCTTTACAGTGATCTCTTATCAAATTCCACAGGTCACGGCTTGCTGTGTTTCATGACTTTAGGACTTGATATTAGTCACTTTCTACTTGTTCACCAAATACACAAATGGCAGTTGAAGACTTTTTTTTTTTTTGGTTTTTCGAGACAGGGTTTCTCTGTGTAGCTTTGCGCCTTTCCTGGAACTCGCTTTGTAGACCAGGCTGGCCTCGAACTCACAGAGATCCGCTTGCCTCTGCCTCCCGAGTGCTGGGATTAAAGGCGTGCGCCACCACTGCCCGGTCAGTTGAAGACTTTTTTACTTGTTTTTGTTTTGGAGACAGGGTCTTACAACGTAGCCTTGGCTAACTTGGAACTTAAAATGTAGAGCAGGCTGTCCTTTAACTCACCTGCTTCTGTGGTCCAAGCACTGGGATTAAAAGTATGTGTCACCACATCCCTTCCAGTTTATTATATTTATTATATTAATTAATTAATTAATTAATTAATTTATTTTTTTTGTTTTTCAAGACAGGGTTTCTCTGTGTAGCTTTGCACCTTTCCTGGGACTCGCTTTGTAGACCAGGCTAGTAGCCTTGAACTCACAGATATCCGCCTGCCTCTGCCTCCCGAGTGCTGGGATTAAAGGTGTGTGCCACCATCGTCTGGCCCAGTTTATTATTTTTATCTCTACATACAGCTGGGGATGACTGAGGCACAAAAAACTTAAATATATTGCTCAAAATTATACAGGTTAAGACTAGGCAGATGTAAGTTCATGCTTTGAGTTCCGTTGGCTCAGCCTGCCTTAATGCTGCATGGTTTCACATAACAGAGGCATTTATATGTAACACACACATACAGAAATGAAGTTGTACCTGTTGACCACTGCCTTTTTCTAGACGGTCAATCATCTCCTCAAACTGCAATGGACAGATGTCCATTTTCTTCTTCAGTTTATTCACAAACACTTCATCTTCAGAATCCAGATCATAGTCAGGCTGCTCAGCGTCCAGACTAAAAGCTGACAGAGGAACCATAAGCAATCATTTACTGAGTGACTCCACCGGTCGAGGCCGCACAGACGCTGCATAAAGCAAGGCCTGGGCCCCTAACGAACGAAGGCTTCTAGGCTCTGTCTTCAGAGTCACACCCATTCTAGGCTTACTTCCTGCTATGTCTTCAACACTGAAAGCCAAAGACAAACTGAATGTAGATAAAAGCTATAAAAAACAAAAGACAGGACTCCCCGTCCACACTTTACACGGGATTTTTTTCTAGATTATTTAAGTCCTATTTTATAAATCATTTAGCTATTATTCCAAAAGACTAAGGAGGCTATGACCAGCAGTGATGACAGCTCCCACGGTACAAGTCTAGAGAATCACCATCACTGTGCCAGACACAAATGCCTTGCTGCTTATGTACGCTGTCAAGAACCGCCACTCTACAGCATCCAAAGGCATTCAATGGCTTACAAACACCAAGGGAGGATGACATTAAGGAAAACTAAACAGCTTGACATCAAAGCACTGCTGTGGGATGGTCTGTATGTCAAATTGCTCTGATTGGTCAATAAATAAAACACTGATTGGCCAGTGGCCAGGCAGGAAGTATAGGCAGGACTAACAGAGAGGAGAATGGAGAGAACAGAAAGGCGGAGGGAGACACTGCCAGCTGCAGCCATGACAAGCAGCATGTAAAGATGCCGGTAAGCCACGAGCCATGTGGCAACGTATATATTTATGGAAAAGGATTAATTTAAGCTATAAGAACAGTTAGCAAGAAGCCTGCCATGGCCATACAGTTTGTAAGCAATATAAGTCTCTGTGTTTACTTGGTTGGGTCTGAGCAGCTGTGGGACTGGCGAGTGACACAGATTTGTCCTGACTGTGGGCCAGGCAGGACCAGAAAAACTCTAGCTACAAAGCATCTATTTTTTCTTTCCTTTGGGTTATTACTTTCAACTCTGCAATCCAATGCCTAGGATGGTGAGGCCTTTTTTATTGATTGTTTTAACAGCCTCCCTAATGTCAGTATTTGATGACCCAGTAGTATATCAAGATTCCATCATACAGCATGCTAGAGTTTATGACTTCAGACCTTTGTAGCAGTCCTTTTTTAGCTACTAAGCAGGTAAATGCCAATGCAATCTTTTAAAAATCCAGCTTGACATCAGTCCTTTAAAGTGCTTTGCCTATCACTCACCCAGGAAGTGGCTCCTGAGCTCTTCTGTTTCAGAAACTAAACCCTCAACAGAAAAACGGGCTGTGAAGATATAGAACATTCTGTATAAATTAGAGGCATTTCAAGCAATCCTGAAAGCTTTTTTTCTTCCCCTGAGACAGTTTTTCTGTGTAGCCCTGGCTGTCCTTGAACTCAGAGATCTGCCCACTTCTGCCTCCTGAGTGCTGGGATTAAAGGTGTGCACCACCACCACCGAGTTCAATCCTATCTAAAATTTTATACACAGCTTTTAAAAACCCCTCCCCAATCGTTCCCTGTCTTCGTCACTTTTTGTACTATTTCCACTTCAGTTGTTAAGCATGTTTGCCCCATGTAAGAAGAGACTGATCTTGTAGGGAGGCCCATGTCTTCCCTATGGACCTCCAAGTGTTCTGAGTAACTTCTTCTGTGCCACTGTCTGCAGACTCAACTGAGAAGCATTTCAGTGTTATGTAAATCTACTTACATAGGAGGAAACTACCACAGCAATAACTAGTCACTTGTGAAATAAGAGGACACTCCCTGGGTGCCCAGAGAACTTTAGTAAAAAGTATCTGCAGAATTAAACATATTTCACTGTCTTTTCCATTTACTTACTAAATGTGGTGGGAGTGATACAAGTGGATGTCTGGACTTACACAAGTCTCTCGGTGCTAGCACCTGTGTACGCCAGACTCTGCAGCCAATGGCTCTTCAACTGTTTTCCAACTGCCTGTCACTGCTCCACAAGCAGCTTTTGGAGACCCTTGTATGCAGGGGCAGAGGCAGAAAGCATCTTTCTGCTTCTAACCAAATGATGTTTATCCCCTAACCATTTTGGTTAAACTTATACTAGTCAAGTAAAATCTGAAATTCAGCCTCTGACAACATGAGCTGCATTCCAAGTGCTAAACACCCACATGTGCCTGGTGATAATCGCAAAGCAAGGCCCTGGAACATGTTGTAGGTAGATATGGCGACAGGCAAAGAAATACTAGCTCGTGCATGCTTTCACAATCTGGGCATAAAGACAGAGTACCTGTTCTGGGAAGCAATGAAAACATGACGTTTGATTGTGTTTTAAAGTGTCTACTGGAGGAAAAACAACCTTTTACATTTCATTTATTTTTGTGTCTGTGCACTCTCGATGTCAGAGGACAACTTTTGGGTACTTCTTTCACCATGTGGGTCCTGGGGGTCAAACAAAGGTCACGAGGCTTAGAGACAAGTACCCCAACTCAAAATGAGCTATCTTGATGATCCACTACCCTTCTTTTTTAAAGACAGGGTTTCATTCTATAATTCACTATGCAGCCTAGGCTGACACTCTTCCTGCCTTACCCTCCCAAATGCCAGGTAACAGGTATGAGCCATCATACTCAGGAGAAAAAAAGAAAAACAAAACCTCCTTGCAACCCCCGCCCCCAATCCCTTCTTTTTCCTTTGAAAGTCTAAATTTCTGCACATTGCAAAATAAAAACATTTTTGTAATACCTGAGTGCCCTTATCTGTATTTGTAAAAATGCTAGGTTTTATCATCTTATTTCCACATGTACCTGAAGCTATGGAAGCAGCTGCCACACATGCAGACACATTTCTTTTTTCTTTTCTTTTCTTTTTTTTTTTTGGTTTTTCGAGACAGAGTTTCTCTGTGTAGTTTTGGTGCCTATCCTGGATCTCGCTCTGTAGACCAGGCTGGCCTCGAACTCACAGAGATCTGCCTGGCTCTGCCTCCTGAGTGCTGGGATTAAAGGCGCGCACCACCACCACCGCCCAGGCATTTTTTCATTTTCTAAGTCACCAGGGAGTAAGCAACAATAATGGCTCTGGCCAGGACAACGATTTCCTCTGCGGCCTGTTGACTCATCCCGTAGTTCTCAGTGACTGTCCACCTACTACAGGGTGAGCTGTAGTTTAGTTGTTGGATTTCTTACTCTCCTTTAAAGTGGAGTATTTTTACTATGTTAAGACTCTGGTAAGCTTTTTAAACTGTTAACTCTCCTAAGTTTTTCAATCATCATCATCATCATCATCATCATCATCATCTTTTAGCACACTCCTGCTGGACTGGGGATGCAGCTCAGTGGCAGAAGGACTTGCTTCAGTGAACAAGACCCTGGGTTCAATCCTTAGCCGTAATAAACAAAACAAAACACATTCTTCACTCTTGGAGAGTATTATTTTAAGGTGTGTTACTTTTGTTTATGTTGTTTTAACTCTGTGAAGCTGTGTTACTGTGCCTGTCTAAAATACCTAATTGTCTAATAAAGAGCTGAATGGCCAATGGCAAGGCAGGAGAAAGGATAGGCGGAGCTGGCAGGCAGAGAGGATATATAGAGGGAGAAATCTGGGAGGAGGATATCAGGTGCCAGCCACTCAGCTACACAACCAGCCAGAGTAAGAGTAAGATTTACAAAAGTAAGAGAATGGGAAAAGCCCAGAGGCAAAAGGCAGATAGGATAATTTAAAGTAAAGAAAACCTAGCTGGAAAAAAGCCAAGCTACGGCCAGGCATTTACAATTAAGAATAAGCCTCTGTGTGTGATTTGGGAGCTGGGTGGCAGGCCCCCCAAAAGAGTAAAAAAATACCCCCCCCACCACAGGGTTTCTCTGTGTAGTTTGGGTACCTGTCCTGGATCTCACTCTGTAGACCAGGCTGGCCTTGAACTCACAGAGATCTGCCTGGCTCTGCCTCCCGAATGCTGGGATTAAAGGTGTGCGCCACCACCACCTGGCTAACAGGTCATTTTTTTTAAAATCTGACTTGTCCCTCTATCATAATTAGATTACGTTCTTGACTAGAATAGAATAGAACTGTTTCAGTCCTCAGAATATCACACCTGGAGGCACACAATATTTACCTGTTCCTCATAACATAATTACAATTTTTATTACATGTACACGCGCGCGCGTGCGCGCGCACGCGCACACACACACACACACACACACACACACACACACACACAGAGGCCAGATGACAACTTTCAGGAGTCAGTTCTCTCCTTTTGTAACTTGGCCCAGGGAATGAACTCAGCATGGTGGCATGTGCCTCAACCAGCTGAGCCCCTTCTTGGGCTCCATCTGGGAATTCTGATTTATCAAGTCAGGATGCTACCCAATGTAGGGGAAGAGCTTGAAATATTCAAATATCCAACTCCCCAACCCTCAGGTTCAACACACACTAGTGATCCCTGTGATGTCATCTCGATCATGGGAACTCTCTCCATTGCGTCACAAGCTCTGGCATTCGGCTGGAAGCATGAGCTACTCATCACCATCCTGAGTTTATGATCCCTTCTCCCAAGGTTTATAATTTATTACTGTACTTAGACAGTCCAGGGTCATCTTGTCCCTCCCCTGCTTAAGCCTGGGGGGGGGCGGGGTCAGACACTTTCCTAACGACACAGGTACTTGGTGTGCTTATTGCTATGGAATATTATTGCTTTTTGATCCCGTGGATCAGGAGAAAATTGAGCAAAACTATGTGAAATAGTTTAGAAGCACTAGAGAATGGAACTGAAGACAGTAATGGTTTTAATGTTTCTTCTTGTAGAACTCTGACTAGAATTAAAGAGAAAATAATGTCTTTGTTCCTGAGCCAAGTCAACATAAAAATAGGAGTTTCCTAAGCTAATGTTTGGTGAAATGTTAATAAATAACATTCAGTGATAGATTTACAAACGAACACCACAAGGCTACCACCGCCTACACTACACAGTAGTAATAAGCACTATCATTCTGGAGGCAGAGAGAGGCATACATTCCCAAACACATTTGATCATGGCCTTCTTAAGGCACATTTATTTCATCCTAAAAACACCAAATCTCACCCCCAACCCTGCTTTCCAGCTGTACCACAGTCATGGCAGTACAAACAGGGAGGCACCAGCATACAAACAGACCTGCAGACCAGTGCCCCAGAGTTGAGCACACAGAAATAAACCTGTGCACCTACAAACACATGATTTTACACAAAGACTCAGGAAAGAAGGCCAAAACATTCAATTGGGACCTTATAAACAACAACAACAACAACAACCTCTTCTGTAGAGCAAAGGAAATCGATAATTGAGCACAGAGACAGTAGAGAGAAGGGGAGCAAATCTTTGCAAGCTGAACATCTGATGGAACTAGCATCTAGACTATACAAACAGCAGGCAATCAAACCACACAATGAATGACGGGCTAATAGGATGAGCAGTCTTCAAGGGTGAAGATCAAATAGTGAGTAAACACAGAAAAGTGTTCCACATCACTAGCTACGAAAGCAACGGAAATAAAAACTGCACCAAGACCGGGTGTCTCACCCGAGTCAGAGGAGCTAACACAGGATGACAAGCATCAAGTGCCGGGAGAAAGCAAAGGCGCCCGCCCTCACCCACCGCTTGTGAGCTGACCCCACTGCCTGCCGAGGGCAGTGAACCAGTTACCCACTGCTCGCCCTTGGCCAGTGAACTAACTAATCCAGTCACACCAGAAAACAGCACAGAGATTCCCCCAAAATAAAAATTCATCCAATACATGGCCGACTCCCTGTGTTTACCCCCAAAGACTCCACATCAGCATGTCACAGACACACTGGACACCAGTGTTTACTCACAACAGCTGAGTTACAAGCCAGCTTAGGTGTCCAAGAGCAGAGGGACGGTTGGAGAAAGAAACCGTGGCCTGTACACAATGGAACCTTTCAGCCACAGAGAACAACAAAGTTAGATTCTTTGCCATACAATGGGTGTGACTGGAGATGACCATATTAAGAAATTCAGCCAGTTCAGAAGGCAAACGTTCATGTTTCCTCTCATTTGTGGGTCTTAGGCTTTACAGATAACAATAAACTCACGTATTTACAAATGACATGAAAGCAAAAGGAAGACGTTAGGGACTAAAAAGGATAAGAAAGGGGAGAGAAACAGGATGGAGGTGTAAATGCTTAAATCACATTTTATTTACATGAAGATGGCCTCACATAACACTATATGATAAAACAAAAACAGAAAATCCAAAGAAAAATTAGTGTAGCCTTGGCTGTCCTAGAACTCACTCTGTAGACCAGGCTGGCCTTGAACTCACAGAGATCCACCTGTCTCTGCCTCCTGCTGGGGTTAAAGGCGTGTCTGGCTGTGGAAGTTTGGAAGTGCAGTGTGTCACATGGGGTACGATTGTGCCCAAACAGCTTTACTTGCAAATGTTTCCTGCAATGAGTCATTGGACTGGCTGGAGGGGCGGCTTACCAGAGCACCACACTGGCAAGGGGTAGGGCAAGCTCTCCTGCCCCCAAGCCCTCGGAACCGGCTCGTCCGAGGCCATGCCATCAGGGCCAGCTCTGCTGTGCTGCCTAGGCAAGGGATGGACCGATGTACTCTTCTCAAACTAGTTATTTAACCACAGTGCTGTGAGTCCTCCCACACCAATCACTGATCAGGAATGTGCCCTGCAAAACTGCCTACTGGCCAATATGATGAAGAGGTTTTACTCAGCTGAGGCTCTTCTTCCAGATACCTCTTAACTTGTATTCATGAACACAAATATAACCAGTGCAGCCTGCTAATGCAGCAGGTTGTACTGCTTGGTTTTCAAATGCTGGCCTGGCCTTCCAATCTTAACACAGCTCATTTGGCTGTGGCATATTGTATCTTTCAGTACATTGTTGGGTGAGATATTTTCTAAGAGTTTATTGAGGACTTCGGCAACTATGTTCTTAAGAAGTATTAGTAACATCTTGTGCCTTACCTGATTTGGATGTCATTAGTATTGATGTGATAAAAACATGTTGGGGAATGTTCCCTCTTTTTGTGTTTTGTGGAAGAGATTGAATACCATTGGTATTAATTCTTTTTTTTTTTTTTTTTTTTTTTTTTTTTTTTTTGGTTTTTCGAGACAGGGTTTCTCTGTGTAGCTTTGCGCCTTTCCTGGATCTCGCGCTGTAGACCAGGCTGGCCTCGAACTCACAGAGATCCGCCTGCCTCTGCCTCCCGAGTGCTGGGATTAAAGGCGTGCGCCACCACCGCCCGGCCGGTATTAATTCTTAAAAAATTATTAATGAGCTTTGTGGCATGCTAAGTAAGTACTCCATCAGAGATACATCCCCAGACTCTCACATACCTTGTTAAAAGCGGAAAATAGGCTCTACTAACTTAGGCCACGGTGGTCAATGAAACAGATTTTGCCAAGTCAAATAAAAAGATAAATACAGAAGGAAAAACAACCATTAAAAGAACACTCACGCTGTATGTGAATGAGCTGCTTTGGCATCTTGAACTCCCCAGGGTATATGGACTCATAGTAAGCGATGTTACTTTCTGCCTCGGGAACTGGAATAACCATATTATCCCGCTTCTCGCCGTACACCTGCTGTGCAGAGATAGCCCGCTGAAGATGGTGTTCCTAAAAACAGGGAAAACACAAAGTGTAAGCTCTGAAACGTACCCATCAGAATGGATAGCCTCACAGAAGGTTTCTGCTCATCTGTTTGCAACTGAAGGAACTTTGGGAGACCTAACAGCACAGCTAGTGTAAGATTCCCCCCCCCCCCCCCCCAACACAGGGGCTCATTATGTAGACCAGGCTGGCCTCAAACTCACAAAGATCCACCTGACTCTGGCTCTTAGTGCTGGTCAAAGGTGTGCATAGCATATAAGAATATTTTAAGTAGAGACACTAGTATTTGCCAAAGATGAGAATCGACTAACAGCAATAAAAGCTTACACCTGAAGACTAGAGTTTGTTTTTTTAATTTAATTTTATTTGTTCACATTCAGGATAATACAAGATAGTTATCAACTAGGAAGAAAATCAGCATAAAAACGTCAATGTCATTTTGCTTACAGGGAGGAATCAGAAAGGGAACAAATCAGAATGAGCAGGGAGACATTCGAAACCCTCCTCACAGCAGCCAGATTACAAAGGTTTAGCATTCAAATGGCAAATTAAGTATTACCCGCTAGTCTTCAAGACAAAAGAGAACCCACGAATGGTGATTTGCTTCTCATGGCAACTTTAAATTTTTCCTTTATGTTTTGCCAGTAAGCCATTCTGGGCTAGTGGACACAAGCTTAACACAGACCTAACATTTGGGGTATGAGATGGCAGCGATAACTATATTTTGGCTTTTATTCTAGATGCTTATCGTGGGTAAGGCAACAGTTGAGGCATCCGAAGTGAAGGCAGTCACACTTCAGTGAGAACCATGAGTTTCTCTCAGCCCACATATGAGGTACAGCGCCCACACGAACGAGGCACTTCACACAGGCACTGAGTAACCAGCACAGATGCACCATGCTGATGCACTAAAACACAGTATGCTGTGGAGCTAATGAGCACAACCAGTGGTGTGCTTCATCCAGGAGAAAGGTGACTGGTCCTCACACACAGCTAAGACCACACCAGCTGTCCTCATCATGTGCCACAGCATCAGGCTTCCAAGAGAGAAACGATTCTAGGAAAGTCAGTAAATCTCTTGAAGAGTGTCACATTTGTGAAGCCAGGATAAGGCTACATCTATCTTGAAAGCTAAAGACAACAAACAGTAGGAGTCCTAGTCCTAGTCCTAGTCCTGAAGAAAATGAAAAGGTCTCTAGGTAGCATATGCTCCCCAGCTCTGGGAAAGCATCGCTCTGGGAAAGCATCATGTGTGTAACGGAAGGGGCTGAAGGAACCTGGAGGGCTCAGCTACATTGCACCGTGCATGGAATCTGAACTTCAGGTTGGAAGTGACCCATCAGGCTTTTCATAAAGAGCATTATCTATCTAATGGCATGTTCAAAGGTAAAAACAGGAAGGACTGCAATGGTAACCACGGTCCCAGATGTTAGACTATGCTTGCCATTTGAGGGTCCTTCAATCCAACAGCGTTCTGTCCAACGACTTCACAGGTGTTATGCTCACAGAAGGCCAACTCTGGTAGCAGAACCATCTTTCACTATAGATGTTACTTCTCCACTCTTTAAAATAAAGCCAAAAGCACACCTAGGGTGGAGCTACATCAGAGCTCCAGGCTGAAGGCTTCACCACTGAGTCCCCATACCTCAGACTAACCAAGAAGGCTGGAGAAGAATACAGGACCAGCTCCACAAATTTTCTACTGATTTAAGCCTGAGTCTAATTCTTCCATCTTGATCCTTACACAAAATGACTTAATGAAGGTGGTGGCACACACCTTTAATCCCAGCACTTGGGAGACAGAGGCAGGCAGATCTTTGAGTTCAAGGCCAGCCTGGTCTATAGAGTGAGTTTCAGGACAGTCAGGGCTACACAGAGAAACCCTGTCTCGAAACAACAACAAAAACTCAAACAAAAGATTTCATGAGTCCATTGCTTATTTCCTGTTCTATGAACTTCAGCCTCATGACCTGACAGATGCCACCCCACAGTTTACACTAGGTTTTGCTACTAAGCCCTAGGCTGGGGCTCCAGAGGCCATAGGCATACTTGCACCAGTCTTTTCAATTCAACTCAGTCCCACATATTGAGAGAGCTCCAGACACAGTTTAGGACAGAGGTTTCCATCCTGAGCAACTGGAGCAGAAGCTTCTGTCAAAACTGCTTGGCTGGCAAGAAAGACAGTGTGAGCCTGAATTACTCTGACTATATTCGAATCTTCAAGTGACAGACAAACAGCCATCACTGCAGGTGTCTCCTGACTACAGGACTGTGCACCATTACATCTGTAATGTAATGCTGGTACTACTTCAGAGACCCAGGATGGAAAGCAGAGCTCAACTTACTATATATAAAGACAGCAGGCTACGTGTAAGAAATATTTTATGATTCAACTATCCTGCTCATATATATAGGTTTATAAATTTAAAAGACTCTTTCATGGGGGACATACACTCAAAAGGTCTTTTGTCTCAAGTAATAATTTTCCTTCTGAATTTCCAAAGTTCCCTCTGGACATACAGTAAGAATAGGGCTAGAAGCATGTGCCCTGGACTCAGGCTGTTTGGATTAGAGCCAACTCCAACATCTAACAGTTTGTGATTCCTGGCAAGCCTTCCAGTCAGTCCGTGAGCGGGGAGGGGAAGCACCGAGAGTGCCTTTACAAAACTGACTAGAACTTAAGATAACCGTGAGGCTGAAAGGTTTGGTCTAACAGGTGTGCAAAATAAGTTTTGATTTAGTTATTACTCAGAAAGCTCTCACTAGTTGAGAGCACATCAGCTGCTATAAAAGGACTGTCCTCATCTAGCCCTACAAATGCCTAATTTAGCATAAACTCTCTCTCTCTCTCTCTCTCTCTCTCTCTCTCTCTCTCTCTCTCTCTCTCTCTCTCTCTCTCACACACACACACACACACACACAGCATTCCAGCTGTATGAAAAGGTCATTAAGAATGCATATATTCTCCTAAATACTTTTTCTGTATATATAAATACAACCTGCCATATATTATAAAGTGATATACAGAGTCTTATTATAAAACAGTCTTACTACACGCTTTGTGTCACTTGATGTATCCCGACAAGCTTTCCATACCGAGACTTTACTCTCTTCAGTAGATACTCTAGGTTTCACTGTACAAGTCAAACGCATGATAATTTCACAATATAGATTGACAGTGGAGGAAACACAAACAACCTGGGAACAATCTAAATGTATAAACTTTCTTCTTAAATGCTACAAAAACAAATCATCACTGTCGTACTACATAGAAACTATTTTTTAGACACGGGAAAGCATCTGCAGACAACTACAATGTGTTTAAACAGACTCCCAACATCTATTTCAACATTCCCTGGAGTAATACTACTCAGCAACCCCAGCCATTTTATTTTTTTTTAGACAGGGTCTCACTATGGAGCCCAAGCTGACCAGGAGCTCACTACGCAACCCAGGATGACCCCAAACTCAATGGTACTGTACCCGCTCTATCCTTTTTTTCCAAGCAGATGCCATCACCTGGCTCACTATCTCGTTAAAAACAAACAAACAAACCCCGCCAACCTTTATTCATCTCATTTTTATTTATTTTGCATATTTTTGTTTTGGGTATAACAGGTGTGCATTTTCCTAACAAGTTATTGCTAAGTTCCCTCAATTGTCACTTTTCTTTGCTGAGCTCTGAAAGGGCTGCTTCCATGTGAGTCTCATGGAATAACCATACAAACTTTTGTTACAGTTTTATCTTCTGGATTTTTTTTTATGTACAGAAAGTTCTATAAGTCAAACTTACAGAACACTTTAGTTTGTCACACTTGATCTCAGAAAAGTTGCACAGTTAAAAAACTATGGTGTCGCCGGGCGGTGGTGGCGCACGCCTTTAATCCTAGCACTCGGGAGGCAGAGCCAGGCGGATCTCTGTGAGTTCGAGGCCAGCCTGGTCTCCAAAGCGAGTTCCAGGAAAGGCGCAAAGCTACACAGAGAAACCCTGTCTCGAAAAACCAAAAAAAAAAAAAAAAAAATCTTAAAAAAAAAAACCAAAAAACTATGGTGTATAAACAAATGCTTTGTTTATAAATCTGTTTTATGTTTGCATTGAAACTTTCAGATTACTACTGGTTCCTGGGGGACAGCAGAAACTAAGTGTGAATGGTGGGAGGAGGAGAACGGAGTTCTAGCTGATCCTGTCCTCTCCCCTAGGCCCAGAGACAGGGTGTTTTTGTGAGCCCCAGTTGGGAGGGCAGACACCCTTGATGTCAGGAGGAGGAAGGGGAAGCGGGGCAGGGCACTTTATCCTCAGTTTGTACACTCGTTCCCAGCTCAGAACCCTTCAGCCATCCTTCAGTGCTTAGATGAACATGGAAGACAGTTTATCCTTTGGATCCTCCTGCAAATCCACCCTGCACTGAGGACACATTCGAAATGCAGGAGTGCTGTAGTACATCTGTAATCCCAGCGTTCGTTCCTACAGTGAGATTGGGAGTGGATACAGGAGTCCCCAGGAGCCCAAGGGACAGCTAGCTTGTAGACACAGCAGTAAACAATGAGAGAGCCTGTTTCAAATAAGGTGCAAGATGAGGCAGGACTGACAGCCAAGATCCTTCTCTGACCTCCATACTGTGCTGTGTCAATAGGCTGATGTCTGCTGCCTGATTATAAGAGCTGGTTGAGGGTACCTACTGCCAAAGAGTATATGGCTCTAGACAGGGCATGCCCTTCATTTCTGAAAAGTCAGAAAACATCTCTTCAAAAAAATCCCAGCTGGGTGGTGGTGGTGGCAGCAGCGGCGGCGGCGGCGGCGGCGGCGGCGGCGCACGCCTTTAATTCCAGCACTCAGGAGACAGAGGCAGGCAGATCTCTGTGAGTTCGAGGACAGCCTGGTCTGTTACACAGAAAAACCCTGTCTTGAAAAACCAAACAAAAACCAAAACAAAAGCCCCAGAGTCCTATTAGGTCCAGGAGATGAACCTGTCTGAAAGGTGGGCTTTGTCAATGTGCCATGAGCA